ATTGCTGAGAAGTGGATGGTTCCCCCACCCCACCCTTAGGGTCCCACCACAGGTCAGCGACAAGAGCTAGGCTGATATCTGCACCCCCACCTTCATCCCTGAACTCCACCCTTCTGCCTGGAAGACCCTTCTCAAAGGGCCCCCAGGCCTGTGGCTGTCACACTGTTTGGACTTGGGACCTTGACTCCTCCCCACCAGCACAGGATGAAGCACATTTGGCATCGAGGCCCAAGAGAGAGAATTCTGAACGGCCACGTCCCTGGGTGATCTTACCCTCCTGGGCGTGGGACATTGTCTCTTCTCTTCTAGTTCATTATAAAAAGAGGTGGGGTGTGTGTGTGTGAGGATAGTCAGTCTCCAGGGCCGGGGCAGGGCATCCACCTCTGTTCAGAATGGACACCTGGGTTCTCCTGTTCCCACTCAGGCTCTGCCCATGCCCGAGGTCACCAGGCCAGTACAGGTGTGAGTCAAAGGGCCCAGTGTGCCCAACGTCTTTAATGGGGGTGAGTGGGCCGGCCCCCCGGGAAGGGCACTCCTGACCAGGGCTCTTGGCTGGCCTGAGACTGGGATTCCTGGCAGGACTTGGGCTCCAGGACAGGGACTTTCTCCGGAGGAAAGGGAAGGACCACTCGTAGCAGGGACAGGGGAATTCCTGGCAGCGTGGGTCACTGGCCAGAAAGCCCAGGGCTGGGTTTGAGGCGATGCCCAAGGGTCTTGGCTAAGCATGGAGTGAGGCCATCAGACCAGCCAGTGGGGCTGGGGGCTGCGCCCTCACACGACCCAGGCATGACCTCTCACCCTAACCTGGCCCTCTGGGCTATCTGGCTGACATCACCACTGCAGGCCTTGGCTCCCTCAGCTCCTGCCTCCCAGGACCAGTGTCCTGGGACCCAGAATTCCCTGTCCCCAGGGCAGGAAGCCAGTCTCTGTGAGTGGTGTCAGCAGGGCTGCCCTGTGGGGCTTACCCACGTGGAGGCCTTTGGCTTTTTGGGACCACTCACATGTGGGCTACCCCCACCCTGGTGTGATCCACTCTCCCATGGGGGTCACTTGTGAACACCCAAACGTGTATGAGGACAAGGAGGGTGAGAGGGCAGACGGGTGGCGGTGGGGAAAACCCCAGTGACGGCTCAGAGGCCCTGCCTGAGGCCAACAGTGATGGTGGCAGGCTCTGGTGGGGGAGAGTGGCGATGCCATCAGCTGTCCCCACCCCCACCCCTGGGAGCAGCTGACAGATACCGCTATTTTCAGTGGGGCAGCTGGGGCTGCCACTCAGGC